ATATCTAATATGTAACTATATTTTATAGCCTAACCGATTCTTAATGCAGATATAGGTGCTTATTACTAAAGTATTAGAAACTCATCTGACATGTATTCTTCTGAATTTTCCGAAGCTAATATTGTTACTATTTTCCCCTTTCTATACTCATGCATTACCTGGCAATTCTTTCTTCTGCTGGCGAGTGATGCAACTTTCTCTAACTATGTGCCCTCTAGATGTGCTGAGCTTGTAACTTGTTGGGTATATTGGTCAGCAGTCATACTAGCTGAGGAATTTTGGGAAATAACATTTCAATGCATCTAAATGGCATCAATTTGCAGAAAATAAACATGTTTAAATGAAACTGGAAAAGAAATGGCTGAGGCTTTTCTTAAATCTGGAAATTATATATTTCCTTATTAACCATTTGAATAAAAATATAATTGTATTTTGGGGAAGGAGAGTATTAATGTCAACTCCTAAATTTGTCATGGCAACTGTGATTTTCTTTTCATCTCTACATTATTGGTTTTCTCCTCCCAACCTTTGTTAATTTTTTGAAAAAATATGTTTAGAAAATCTTAATATTTTCCTGCTCCAGCCATTTGATAAAGGATAGATAAGAGGGAACCTTTTCCCCGAAACCAGAAGTACAAAAATAAGTTCCTGCCTGAAAATGTCATATTTCTGTTTTCAGGGAATAGAACAGTTGAAAAAAGAAGAGAGAAGATGGGCTAAAAAAACAAAATGGATGAACATGAAAGCAGTATTCGGCCATCCGTTCTCTATAGTTTGGCTTAGCCCATTTGCTACTCCAGACCAAGGAAAAGCCGACCCATATCAGTATGTGGTCTAAGAATTTGTGACAACATTTTCACCCAAACAAAACTGCATTTGCGGCACTGTGGCTATTATACATGAATGTTTCAAATGAAAAAAACCTTTTCTTTAAAGAAAAACTGCCTATAAAAGGGCAAGTAACTGCAGAGAAAAGATGAGGGGGAAAAAAGCAGGTCTGTATTCTGCAAACTTTGATAATTCTTCATCTCTGGCTGAAGCGTTTTCTTTTCTTTTTTTATTTAATAACTTGACTGGCCTATTTTTTTTCCTGTCTGCTTGTTGACACAACTAATGTAAAGAAGAAACTTCTTTCTTTCTGACCTATGCTGACTGAGTAATATTTACACAACCACTGAACAACAGCCCGTGCCAGGAATATCATCTTATATGGGTATTCATGAACTTCTTCATAGTAAAGAATACTTTTATGTTGTGGTATTTTGTATGCATCTGAGTTAAAGCCTCACATAATGTCTGAAGTAATGGAAAAGAAAATATGGCTCAGTTGATAACTTTGCTTAGCTTTTAAGCTTTAAAATATTTTGCCAACACTATTGTATTTTAGAGAGTTACAGAAATACTTTCTTGTGCTGTTTCTTACCATATCTTTCAGGACAGCAGGATTTGTTGTCACTATTGGTTATATGAATGAAGGTTGTTGTATGTGTGGCTTTGTAATGCCTTATAATTGAAGAGATATGAAAAGTTGATTTAAATGTGTAGAATAGCAAGATAAAGTTTGTATTAATTAAAAAAGGGGAGTGGTTAATGAATAGTGTTCATGTATAGAAGAGGCTTAAAAATCCAGGTAAAAGTCTAGCATTGTCCTTTAATTTTTCTCTTTAACATCACCTCCTTTTTATATCTTTAAACATTTGTTCTGCTTTAACTCTATACATATATATTTTACAATCAGAACTGTCATGTGTTAAAAGATCATGCATGCCTTCTTTCATGATTACATGGATGGCAAACTGTATACATAGTAAGAGCTTGGACTAAGTAGAGGGCATTCTGTTTAAAACAAAAATAAGAAGAACAGATTACACCCAAATGAGTGAGTCTGTAACATTTTGAAATATAGGCAGGGATTTCATTGCATATTTTGGATTTAAAAAATTCTGACGGTTGCTATTAGAGTATCTGCAGGAAAAATATAGAAATGCATATGAGCTATGTTCCCAGATGTATTGTTTAAACTGAATCAAAGCCATGGAGTGGAAAGGAAATAGATTTAAAAAGCCAATAGATTTGTCTCATTTTGAAAATAATGTGAATGCTGCATTTTTTCAACACTGTCAATGCTTCCATATGGGAAACAAATGCAATAAACCTTTTCTGAACACTGCTTCTGTGCCTTTATTTAAAACAAGTTCTTTTAAATTCTATTGTCCTATAGATTGTAGATAGTTGCATAATTAGAGTTTAGAGCTAAATTTATTTGACCAAATAGTACTGTGGCTACACTTTTATAGTCTATCATTGTGTGCTCAGCAAACCGACAGAAATTTTTGTAACAAAACTAGTTTCCTGTTTCCACCATTACCTATTAAAATATGTATTGCAGAAGAATGTATTTTATGGATCGGTAATCCTTGATGATCTGTGTTTAAGAGATGTTTTGATAAAAATACTTAAAGCAATCATAAAAAAAAGAAATTGATATTTTATCTTTTAGTCTTGGACTAAGAGTCACTGAGTTCAATGAAACTTATTTTAAGTGATTATATTTAGATCATGATTTTGATTTTTTTTCTGAATGATACTATAGTTACTAGCCTACTATACAAAGAATCTCAGTGATTTATAAAACAAGATATTGCAAAGAGAATATGAAAATATGGTTAGGTCTTACTCTCCATATTAAAAATAATTTACCAGATGTATTCCAGCAGACCAACTGTCCATTGATGAGAGAGTGCTGTTCCAATTTTCATCAGCTCCCTAATTGTGGAATTTCCTCACCATGGAGGCTTGGATCATTTCTATTTTGATGAATTTTTGGGCAGGATATTCCATATTTCCCCAAGTTTGAAATATCTTGCTAGATATTAAATATATATGAGGATGGATGGTGCTGTTACTGTATTATTTTATGGTGTTTTTTGATGGATCATAAAAAATTACACTGCAATAAATTTGTCACGGGATACCATTTTGGATTTGATGTAGTAAACTGATATGTCTACCTCTGAAAAATGTCAAATAATTATATGTTTGCCTAGCTATTAATGAATAAAATTATTTACATTCAAGTCAAATAAATGACTTTACATTGAATTTGGTTCTTTATTCTTTCCAAACTGAATAGTTTGTTTTATTAAATGACTCATTGATCATTGAGTTCCAAACACAAATTGGACAATATTATGAATGGCATAGAAATATGCAAATCAGAATTAATATATAAGATAGGTGATTTCAATTTTTTTTAGTATGGTCCATGTAGAACATCATAAACATTTACTTAATGCTGATGGCTATCCAGTCCAAACTGCAGATTTATGACATTGCATAGCACTCATTTTTGAAAGTACAACATTGGGGGTTGCCCAGATACTAACATATTCTGGAATAAATCCCTAAAGTTTTTGGATTTTTAAAATATAATTGTAGCATTTCCACATTATACAGGGAAATCTCACCTACAGGAAATCATAACATTGGTTCATAAAATCCAAAACATCTATAGGATTAAAGGTGGATCAAAAACATCAAGTTGGTGACTCTGATTGCACATGGGCATCTGGGTTTTTTCCCTAATAAACCTAAAAGAGGAATAGGAAGCTTACATCTAAAATGAAATCAGATGAACATTTTGTAGTTGCAGCAGCTTACTGAATTCAATATAAAACTAACAATGATACACATTGTACTGATTCTCCAATGGTTAATTTCTTCTTTGAATATTTTATTGTCAGTTGCAAACAAATCTATGAAGTTAGTGGTAAATAAACTTCTGAAAATATACTATTTTCCCTATAGTCTCGGATTACCAATGCTATTTTCCCAAATTTTGATTTAGCATACATTTTTTTTATAATTAAAACTGTAATGTCATTTTGCTTGCATTCTGAAATCTTCCAGAGAAGCTATTAATGAGCTGTGGTGGCGCAGTGGTTAGAATGCAGTACTGCAGGCTACTGCTGACTGCTGGCTGCCAGCAGTTCAGCAGTTCGAATCTCACTGGCTCAAGGTTGACTCAGCCTTCCATCCTTCTGAGGTCGGTAAAATGAGGACCCAGATTGTTGGGGGCAGTATTCTGACTCTGTAAACCACTTCGAGAGGGATGTAAAGCACTGTGAAGCAGTGTATAAATCTAAGTGCTATTGCTATTAATGGAATAAGAATGCTGTCGTTGGAAGGGATCAATAAAAACACATTTTTAAAAAAACCCTTCTCTAGCTTGATGTGTTAACTTTAGATCAATGTTTTTCATTTCATTGGGTATTTTAAATGTAAAATGGTACATTAATATATTGGTCTGAAAATAGTTTTTTTCCATCTTGATGCCTCTATTCTATAATTTTAGCCTTAGAACACAGGAACCTGCCTTAAAATTAAGACATATGCTCTATCTTAGAGAATACATTTGAAAGATTAGATATGGTTTCCAAAGACTTACACATCTATTAGTATGTGCAAAGAAGTTTTACTTATTCAACTTTCTGAATGTTCAGAGGAGAACATTGGGTTGGCTGTATATGCAAATTTAGACTGTACCTATGGATCTTGTCTTAAGTTAACTCTAAGAAAAAAAAGCAGGGAATAAAGTATGCACAAAAATTTAAGTCCAATCTTTAAGTCCTGGAATGAGACATATGTAACCCTAATCAGAAAATTTCTGAGATGTAGCTAAGAATTCTGGATATATTAGGAAATTCTGGACAGACATTCAGCAGGTCTCAATTTGGCACCTGTTAATCCAAAATATGGTAAACGGTATATAATTTTTTCACTATGTGCAGATGAATATTTTCCAATATTTTTCTGATGTGATACTGTTTTTTATTTCCTATTAATGGCTGAAGAACTTTCTAGACTCATAATTTTTCTTTTGAAGGTTTTCTCTACATTCAGAAAAACCTTAAATTATTTAGGCTACTATCCATCAGCGTGTTATAATAGTGTTCCATGTGCCTTTAATGAATAAATGTAAACTGTTTTGTCTTCTGCAGGGTATAGAACGGCTTAAAAAAGAGCAGCCAACCTGGGAAAAAGCCAGCGGCTGGGAAGGGATGAAACTGGCTTTCGGGGGTAATTTTTCACTGCGATGGTTCAGTCCCTTTTCAGACCTGAATTGCAAGAAGGCTCCACCAGCTGGGACTGCAACAGTTGCTCCATCAGAGATGGTTGTGCAAGAAGCCTTTGAACCATTTTATGATCCAATGATGGTTGTGGAAGTATTAAGTGATTAATATAAAGTATCTTTCCAACTGTTTGGTTTTTTAACGTTTGTGTACTTAAGAGCTAGCTTTAAGGTGCCACTGATGCATGAAGCCATGGAATCTTTCTTCTTCTCGCTAAGGACTTCATTCACTAAGCAAAAAATAATGCAACTACTTTCCTACGCATTTAACTGGTGATGGGTTAACTATACTTCAAGAATTGTACTTCATTACAGAAAAATTAACCTATCATCTTGTTGGGACAGCTTCTAAAAATATGAGGGGCATGTTTTCTCAAGATTTAATGGCTGGTCAAAATCTAAGGTCAGGAATATAATTCTGATCCATAAAATTCCTCCTGAAGTTCAATGTGATCATTTTAAGTGGTCTCGTCTGGAGATATTTATGTGCTCTAAATTACTGTTTGTGCCATAAATGATAATTCTATAGTAATCAGAACTACAAAATTTATACATAATGATTATTTTTCAGCTAATTCATATTGATTACCTCAGAAAAGCTTGGGATGGGGGCAATTATAAGAAATAGCTTGGGCAATTGTGGACAAAAGCTAAATTAGGTAATCAATCTTTCATTGTTTTGAAAGAGGTTATTAGATTGTTTATTTACAAATGTCCAAGCAGTCTAATTTTAGCAGTGATTTGTTCATGCAATCCTTAAAACTCTCCATCTGAAGTACAGCTAATTATAAACAGGGATTCTCTTCTACTGTACATAATTGGAAGCTCATGCATGTGTCCCTGAAGGGTGCACTTGTGTATGATTGAGAAAGAGGACATAGATATTTCCAGCAATAAGTTGTCTTACTGCATGGATTTAGTTGATGACAAGGCAAGCCTATTAGTGAATTCTCTGTACATCTTAAAAACAGACCAATTAACATTAGTGTTTATTGATACAATATGTTCTTAATAAAAGTGCCATGCACAGGGTTGTTGGATATTTCAGGATTGATTTCATGTCTAGAAACAACAATGCTGCAAAACACTGTTGTGATTTGGCAATCGCAACAGGATTGTCTCTGGGAAGGGAGACCAATGAGTCTCCATATAAGAGAATATTATTACAGTTAGGAATATGAAGGCAAATCCCTAAGGATTTTATTTCAGTATTTGGTGCTCTTTTATAGTCTATATTTTTTTATAATCTATTACAGAAACCTGACTTATACTGCTTCTCACTTGAGATAGCATTTATGAGCTCTCTTAATTGGCAGAAATGTGGTCATGGCTTTTCTGTATTTGTATATTTCTACATGTCCCAAAGTGTTTTTCCAACTAAATTCTTGGGGTTTTTTTTCTCTTGAAAGCATTTTGCTTCTCATCCAAGAAGCTTCTTCAATTCTGACTGAATGATGAGGAATGGAAGGATTTATATTCTTTGCCGTCATCTGGTCGTTCCTTCTTTTCTGCACCATTCAGTTAGAACTGAAGAAGCTTCTTGGATGAGAAGGGAAACATTTTCAAGGAAGAAACCAATTAAAGTCCAGTTGCCTTTTTGGAAAAGCACTTTTGGACAACCATGGCCTGGATGATTAAGAATCTCCATAGAGATACATTTCTACATGTTAGTTAGGTTCCGTTTGTTTTCAGACTCCTGTGTCTCATAGAAAAAAAAAAAAGGAAATGGCATTCAAAAAGTGAGGGAAAATACATTCTAAGGTTTTACTGGAATAATTTTAAAGGACTCTTCTATACTGAATAAGTGCCTTATTTGGATCCAATCTGTTTAATAATGCTTTATGTTGCCAACTGAAACCAAATGATTTTATACCATATTAAAACTAATCTGCTATTAACCAAAGATTTTTGTTTGGACTCTTTCGCTAAATGAATGTTGGCATTATGCTTTTGGAGCCTAAGAAGGTCCTTAGGCTAAACAACCAGTTCACCTGGTATCCAGTATATAATTACCAGGCATATGGCTGCTTACTGCCAGTAACTCTACTGAAGCCAGCTTGCCTTAAAACTCTGCTTTAAATATATATGTATTTGCACAAGCATAATCTTTAGGTTTTGATAATCTAGAACAAGACTGTCAAACTCGCCGTGCCACGTGACATGTTGCGACGTATTGCAACTTTTTTTGCATTGCCAGAGCTGGGGTGGGCGTGGTCTCTACATGATGCAACCAGCCCACGGGCCAACAGTTTGACACCCTGACATAAAAGAAGCAAGTGCTCTTTTGTTTTTAAACTCACCCCTTAGCATGACATTATGCAACCAGTTAGCCTGTATTTTAAAGTTCAAAACAACTGTATTTTAACAAAAATGCAACTGTTCTGGATGCTAAATAACCAAAAGGTGCTATAATTCAAATAATTGGATTATTAATTAATAGTGGGCTGGGATTTAGCATGTGGGAAAATATATATTTTGTATTTTCATGAACAGTTTTAGGGCTGCACACTGGCCTATTCTATGCAATTAAAGAATGTAGGCATTTACAAATGTTTCTGTTCTAGTTTTTGCTCTTTTGTATCTTATTTTCTGTATTCCAGGTTAATCGTACTTATTAAAGGATTGTGGTTTTCATCCCATACTTGTCTGCTCATGTTTAGTGCTTGCAGTCCTTTTAAAGTGATCTTTTTGTAAGGCTATTTTAGAACTCAATTACTATCTAAACCTATCTTTTCCCTTCACATAACCTTATAATGTCAAAATCCTTGCAGGGACTGGAGGTCAAATGAGATTAAAAATCCATCATATTTAAGGTTTCATTTCTTTCACATGGACTATCCACACATCTGGCTTCTGAAGATTGGTTCTTGGAACAGAAACCCAGATGTTACATTATGTCATGCCTTTATCTTTAGGAATGATGTCTGCATACGGGCTGTGCTGGCCTGCCAGTAAAGCCATCTGATGGTAGTATTCTGCTGGACTAACCCCTGCATGTGGAGCTAAAGCAGAACATTAAAAGCATGATTTAAGGGCATTAGAAACAGGAATCTGTCTGTTTGTCTCTGTCTGTCTGTCTATGTTTTACTTGACTTCCATTTCGCTTTTAGAAAATAATATCTGGTTATCCATGTCTGACAATTCCTGATAAGGAAACCAGCCTCCTTACTGAAAGCATAATGTACAGCACAAACATCTTTTTTGCAACAGCTGATGCAAACAAGCCTTGCACTATAGAGCAAAGTTAAAATTCAACTCTATTTCAATAACCAATATATCTATTCAAGCATCTATTGCAGAGAATAATGCGTTGTCAGTATTCCAAATTGGTAATAATTTAAAACACACAGATTGAGTAAAATCCACTGAGACATGCAAGTCGATACTTTATTTTTTTTAAAAAAAAATATTTATTTTGGTTCGAAAACCTGTCATTTGAATTTATATAAGGCACAGGGTCCAAGAAACAGGATACAAGTTATTTAATCTGTATTTAATCTGTATTTTAGATTTCTGAACATTCGTGTCACCTTTGATTTCTAGGGATGAACAAAGTTCTGATAAAAATAGATCTTTATGAAATTTTGCCAAGTAATGGAGATGCCTCGTGTTAGAACTTATAGTTATACTTCAGAAACGGTTATGGTGGTTGCCATAATGCTAGTATAACTTAGTTTTAACATATTTTAATTTGAAGCTGAAAGTTTTGAAAACAAATGGAGGGAAGGGCAAAATCAAAGTTCTTGGCATAAAGAAAATACCTGCACATTTGAACCCCTTATTATTTTTACTAATGAAAGAAATTGCCTTCCTAGAACTCTTTTCCTATTAAATATACAGGATACCTGCTGCACAGAACTTCCATATATTTTCAGTAACTTTGGTGGTAATTCAGTGGCCAGATTTCATGAATAAAGAATCTGTTTTAATTCCAGTATTCTATATAATGATGTACTGAACATGTAAGTGGAGATTGTTTTAGATTGGTTATCTTTTTCAAGTTCATTTCATGCCAGACTGAAAAAAATCCATTTTCCTCTAGAACTACATTGACCATTTTGCATTCCCTAACCCGAGTACCACAGCTCTGCCAGCCCTATTTTAAACAAATAATTGCATGTATTAGTAGGCATTTAAACATTTAATTCCAAACAGGATTTAGCAATTCACACCTGATATATTAACACAACAGGATTTTCTGAAAATGTTGTTCTTTTATGCAGCATTCATTCTTGATTCATTTCAAGTGACGTAATTATGGAAGCAGTGAGTATTTTGGATAACTTAAAGGTATTAAAACAAATCAGAATTGTCAGAAGAAAATCAAAAAGATAATAAATATCTGAAAGAACAATAGAATGGATGCAAATCTGGTCATATTGGTAGCAAATCAACTGAATTGGTGAAACTTAACATACAAATGGATTGTCCATGTATACAGGTAGTCCTCGACTTAACAACAGTTCATTTAATGACCATTCAAAGCTTTAACGTCACTGAAAAGAGTGACCTGTGAGCATTTTTCATACTACCTTTATAGCATCCCCATGATCATCTGATCAAAATTCAGATGCTTGGCAACTATCTCATGACTGTTGCTGGGTCCCAAGGTCCTGTGATCCCCTTTTGCAATCTTTTGACAAGCAAAATTAATGGGGAAGCCAGATTCACTTAACGATCCCCTTACTAACTTATTAACTGCTGTGATTCACTTAACAGCTGTGACAAGAAAAGTGATTTTAAAAGTTCAAAACTCAGTTAACAAATGTCTCACTTAACAACAGAACTTTGGGCTCAGTTGTGGTCGTAACTATAAAGCTAGCTTCAAGGATTTCATGAACTCCAGATTTTCATATCATACCATAATCATAAGGAACTACTTCAGGAACATGGACAAAGAACATTATATTGCTGATACTATTCTTTCCACATTTTATTCTAAGAGATCTCGTTGGAGTTTGTTGGCTCTTGTCTGACATTGATTTATCCTTTGAACAGAGCAGATGAATTTAGCTGTTACCCTAACAGGAATATAGGGAATTTTCTTTAGAAAAATAAAGTGGCCCATGTTTTGTATTTAAGGTAACTTTGGTTTTCCATGCTAGCTTAATTTTTCTCAGGCATCAAAATGTATTTGTATGAACAATTTTAAGCGAAGTACCATAGGATTATTGTCTCTTGCTCTTTAGCAAATAACTGAAATGAAAAGAAGCAATCAGGGCCAAACTCTTTACAATAGTAAGAAAATAAACTATTGTTTCTTATTCTGTTTTCTTTGGGGACACTGAACTTCTGAAGATTATGTAGCAGTTTCACTTAAAAAGTCTTTTAAAAGACTAAAAGTGTAAAAGTGCTAACGAGATATAATATGAACCTGGACCTAGTTTATAACTGGCTATTTCTTCTTGAATTGGTGAATGCAAGAGGGGAATGCTAGCTAATCTGTTTGTATTATATGTATGATTTACCTATATAATTAGAATAGCACCACCAACTTGTGCATCTGAAAAAGATTGGGTGGAAGTCCTCATATACACACATACAAAACCCTCCTCATATTTAAATTTTTGAACAAGATTCTACACAGATGTAAAATTCACGTTAAGATGCACAAAGATGCTGCTGAAAGAAAAGTGTAGGTAGCTGTATTGTTTCTTTTACTTTTCCATCCTCTTATAATTGCACCTTTATGTATCCTTTCTCTTGGATGGTGAAGGGAAGGTTTACCATAAACATACATACAGTACAGCATGCCTGTACAATCATAGTATCTACTGCATTGAAGTCATTCAGTGTCAATTCTTAGATAAAGTAATGTCATCTATACATTAAGACAAGTTATCAGCATGGTTGGCAAAGTGAGGGGATTTATGGAAATATAAGAAGAAAAATGAATTAATGAATGAAAATCTAAATGAGAGATTTTCAAAAACAGGTTATTGAGAACTGAATGGATGGATGAAGTATCTTGAAGATGTAGTTAGAATTTTGAAATTCTGTTATACATTCCATTTAGAGTGATACAGTAGGTTCTCCTCTTCCTCCTCTCCTCCCAAAAGCTTCTGCAAAAATTAAAATTTGCAACATGAATAATAGTGAAAAGTAAAAGAGAATTGTGAAAGTAGGAAAGAAAATCAACTATTTGGTAGTGTCAAGGTTTATCTTCAATAGTTCTCTAATGCTATATGAATTTTTAACCAACATTTTAAGCCATGTTTTTACTAGAAAATTTATTTAGCAATGTACTGCTGTAAGTTTTGGTTCTGGTACATAAAAGTGCTATACACTGATATAGGTATAGTATTGAAAATGCATAAATAGGAATTGAGATGAGTTTAATTACAATATTGCCTACATACAACCATTCATTTAGTGATATCTGGAGTTACAATAGCACTGAAGAAAGTGACTTGTGACCATTTTTCACACTTAACGACTATTGAAGCATTCCCACAGTCATGTGATCAAATTTCGGATGCTCAGCAACTGGCATGTATTTATGACGGTTGCAGTGTCCCAGGGTCATGTGATCACTTTTTGCGACCTTCTGATAAGCAAAGTCAATGGGGAGGCCAGATTCACTTAACAACTGTGTTGCTAATTTAATAACTGCAGTGATTCACTTAACAATTGTGACAAGAAAAGTTACAAAATGGGACAAAACTCACATAACTGTCTTGCTTAGCAACAGAGATTTTGGGTTCAATTGTGATTGTTAAGTTGAGGACTACCTATACTGTAAATTAATGTGTGTCAGGAAGACCTAATTACTCGATTGTTGGCAAAAGTTAGCTCTATACATAAAAGTTGCCATACTTAGATAATTACATGTCTAACTATCCAGTTGCCAAGTGCTTGAATTTTGATTACGTGACCATGAAGATACTGCAATGGTTGTAAATGTGAAAAATGGTCATAAGCCACTTTTTTCAGTGCCATTGTAACTTTGAATGGTGACTAAACAAATGGTTATAAGTTGAGGTCTGCACTGAAATTCAGTTCTGTGGGGATAGTGTTGTCTTTGTTGGCACATGTAATCTCTGAAGCAGGATTATTAATACAACACTTTTTTCTGAATGAACTGCAAATAAGGCTGAAATAGTCCTCAATTCCTCCAATCTCTTGGCTAAAACTGATATGAAATCTAATTGAAGACTTCTAATTGATTTAAAACATTTTCACATCCTTAGGGCGAAAAAACATGAATGTCCATCCAGACTACTCAGGTTGGTTTTAGTGAGTAAAGGGGACTACTCTGAGAACTTGGAAAGAACATACAAATGTGGGAATCTTCTCAAACTTGAAAATACCTTCCCCACAAGGAATTGTATGAAGTTTATTTTTTTTAAAAAAAGAATTACACGAACATAAATTTTCCAGTCACACAGTCATTCTGTCTGTCTCACATTGCTTCTACCTATTTTATTAGAACTGTGGCAAAATTGATTTAAAAAGCCTATTTCACTACCTCCATTTGCTGTAATATTTTAATTCAGTTATATGTATATGTATTTTCCTTTCTGAAGGTTGTGCAATGGGGAGGCCACGAAATTTCTGAGACAGTCAGGAAAACTTTCAGAATACCAGAGAACTTTCGAATGTGTCCATCAAACACATCTAAAATCTTCTGTTTATGCATGCATTATGAAAATGTCTACAATTTACTCTTCCTTTTTAGGCATGAAGAAATAAATGGTTCTGCCCAGATGACATAGACATTCCCAAATTTCCCAATGGGGACTGTTCAGTTGCAAGGACATCAATATAAAGATTTTAAAAATTATTACAAAGCGAGTAACAAAAGGAATAGCAGAAGAATTGATTGAGAAAACATGTTTTTATTGAATAGGAACTATTAATTCATAACTAGAAGTGGTAGAGAAAGTACAGTATATGGAGATATACTTTGAATTAGGAAACATAATTTACTTTTGGTGATATAAACACTTAAAGAATTTTTAGGAACTAATTTGTGCTTCATAATTAATCATGTTCATAGAGTATACATGTGTAGAAAAGAATATTGAAATCTGTGTTAGTTACATTAGTCATGGAAAGTAAGCTTGAAGCCAGTCTAATATATCAAATACTACTTAACATATTATAAATGAAAGAACATAAAATGTATGCAGCTTTGTAACGTTGCATATATTAGCAATTAGACTACAGTGAGGAACAGTTACAAATTATAAAATGAGAAGAGAAGGCATAAATATTGCCAGGAAGGAAGACAAAGATAATTCCTTCTGATTCCAGATTTCACATATCATGGCTTTAGTGGTTATAAATTATCAGAATTCTGCAAACATAAAAGCATATTTCAATAACCTATTAAATATTCACTAGATAAAATCAAAATAGTAATCTCCTGAAGCTACTTAAATTCTTTTATAATCTTTTCAGCCACAATCAAGGCTGCAAGCAAAATCTAGAGACTTGAATGATAACATATATCTCTAGTGCCACCAAGTGATGATCTTTGAGAATACCGTCACCACTATTCAATGATGGAAATAATCTTTTCCGCGGTTATTTCTTTTAGCTGGGTAGAATTCAGTTTGGCCACTATCTTCTTCAGTCCACTCTTCTTTGGAGCACACACTATTTTGGATTTAAAGATTTTACCAGGTTGTATGTCCCTAAGAGAGAAAAGATAAAATGTATGTGTATATACAGTATTTGTATGTATGTAATTATATATATATATATATATCCCGAATATCCAAAGACCTATATATATATTACTCCCTTAATTCTTTGTTAGCAATCCAAATTTTGAAATATATATATATATATATATATATATATATATATATATATATATATATATATATATATATATATATA